ACTGAAAAGCGGAGTTTCCTTCTTTCGTTCTGCCGCGTAAAATCAATTACTTTAGGCGACGTTTGTAGACTAACCTACTCGTACCAACGTCGGCATGTCGCGACGCTGGAGTACTATTCAGCGTTTTTACTATATTTCTAGGTTTCCTATTTCTACGTATAATCGGCTCATGTCTCAGCCACAATATTTTGAGGACAATATTATTTACGAACCCAGTTAAACTTATTTACTAGCCTATTTCAACATGCTAATTATTACATTTAGGCGACACATGCGCAGATCGATTCGCCAGCAGCGAGTCATCGCCAGCAGCAGCAAGCCATCGCCAGCAGAGAGATGTCACTGCAGCAAAACATTATTGTATTAATGCTTTTCTAATAATATATTATATAGACAATGGGTCGTGCTCATATTATTTGTTATATTTTTATTATTCATTATTTTCACTTGACTCGCATTAATAATTTTGTTCGAAGAACATTTTATGCAGTTGTACTTCGCAGCACTTCACTTGCAATTTGCAATTTCTAGTATATACAGTATAGGATTTGTAAAAATAAAAGGCGTCTCCTTTTTCAGGCCTATTAATTTATCTGGCCCAGTTAATTTGCAGGATCCAAACGTCGATGAGAGCATTGGTGTTTTTCGTAAAATCTCGGATGATCTGTGAAAGCTTAAGGTACGGTATGATTTACTTTGGATAAAAACACCATCTGCAAGCCTATCTGTACCATGTTTTGTGGTCACGTTCGTCCTCTCAATCGTTGTTCAGAAATCAAAAGCTTGATACCACCATAATGCCATTTATTTACGATGACGTTAGACCTATGATAGGCCCTGGTTTTTAATGATACTTTAAGACACCGTTAAAGAATTTCACTTGCAAAAATCATGGAGGTTGCCTCCAATGCATACATTGTGCTAAAATACAATACTCACAATCTTTCGACCTTGCAATGTTAATTAAATAATTAAAGAATATTGCGTTCCATTAATGTTGTGCTGAATACGCTTTCACCACATACAGCTTCGATTTAATGGCGCTTCGTCGGCGTCACATTCACATTGCCGATACATTGGGCGTATTCGACTGGTTCATTTCGTTGACTACGGTTTTTCGTTAAGTACTGTATTAATATTTCATTCGACTGGTTCGTAAAATAGACTTTGTTGACAAGGACAATTAACGTAAACCAGAGTGCGTTAATTAGCGTTAAGTTACACGCGTGACCAAAACGAACTTGGCCGATTCGTGAGTTAGAAACGTAAACAACATTTGCGTTAATATAATTTAGATTAAATTTTATAAAATAAAAATTATAATATATACCCACTTGAAGTGTCAAGAAATAATTGTTTGTAGGCTAACAGAACTCAAAAACTAGATGAAAGTTGTTTTTTTTTTTAACGAAAAACCATACTGCCACAAGCTGAAGCAATTTTGATTACACAGCATGTATCGTGGTAATGCAGTCATTTTGTTTTGTTGAGTATTTACAAGTTTTCTATTCGACTGGTCGTCTTCGTTAAGTAGGATTTTACCGCCGCGCAGGTGGGCGTGATTTAACGAAGAACGACTCGTCGAATACGGCCATTACCTCGTTTAAAAAAAAAAAAAAAAAAAAACAGAACAGAACAAAACGCTTCAAGATCAAAGGTTATGCCGCCCTCTATTGGCACGTCCTTAATCGTTGCTGTGAAAAGATATTTTTCTTTTTCTTTCTTTTATTCGGCATTATAAACATTAAAATATACAGAAGTACAAAAATATATAAAAATACAATTGTGAAAATGTATTTAAAAATTATGGAAACCACAAATTCAGAGAACAGTACACGAATAAATATTTAAAAAATTAAAGAAAATTAAAAAAAAGTTATAAAAATATTTAGGCCTATCTTGAATATCATATACCTCTTCACAGAAAATTGAAAATTGACAGAAAAAAACAGATATTAATGCCAGGATAACCAGTGAAAGTTCGAAAGAACTTGTTTCCAGCGTGGTTCTAAAATATCACATAGAGACAAAAACGGAGACAGACAAAAGAAGTAGTATATGGTGTACAAGATAAAACAATTGATAAAAAAGACCCACCTAACAGCGATACCCAAGCTACTGTATATACAAGTTAATTATAGACTATGTTCAATCAGGGAAAATTTAAAATTTAACTGTTCCCTGGTTCAATGTTACAGAATCTTTTATCAAGGTGGTGCTTTAATTTTATTCTAAATATATTTCGTTGAGTGATGTTGATTGTTTTATGTATGATGGTAGTTAGTTCCATTATTTGATTGATGTGTAATAAAAATGTTGTATTGTTGGGATGTTTAACATGTGAGATACGAACGTTTAACGAGCTACCTCTAGTAAAATGATTATGTAAACTATTGAGTCGTGTGAAATGATTTTGTAAGTATTGTGGGCTAAGTTGATGAAAGTTTCTGTAAACGTGACACAATTTAATGAATTCAAATCTATCAGAAATGCTCAGTAAATTGAGACCAGAGAGTTGAGAATGACTAACACGAAGTCCCAAGATTAAACGGATGGCTTTATTTTGTGTTATTTGGAGTTTCTTAGTGAGCATTTTGTTTAAAGACGACGACCAGAAGGAAGAAGCATAGTCAATACAAGATGAATTAGTGAAGAATACAATATTTTGATAGAATGACTTGTTAGAAGAAACGCCGTTTAATGAATTTCAATCTGGTGTTTGCTTTCCTGATGATGTTATTCCCAATTAGGTCGCCGGACACATGTTGGTAAATCTCAACTCCGAGATACTTCACTGATGTTTTATTTGTAATTATTTGTCTATTACATTTAATTGAAAACTCATTAACTAGTTTAAGTTTTCGCTTGGTACCAAAGAAAATACTCTAAGTCTTTCCCCAATGGAGCGAAAGAGCGTTATCCAAAAGTCAATTGTTACAAGCTTCAAGGTTGGCCCCAGCTTTTCCTCGATTATTCTTGGATTGTTATGAGAAAATATCATCATCAGCGTACTGTAATATTTTACAATCAGGAGTAATGCAGGCGTATATCATTTATATAAAACCAGGTGGGGGGGGGGGGCCAAGCACGCTTCCCTGGGGAACACCGTGGGAAATTTTCCTGATAATCGAAACGCAGCCATTAGCAATTATTGTCTGCTTGTTAAATGCGATTTGAACCAATTTATGTTACTAATACCAATTGTCTTAAATTTACTTGTCAAAATTTCAAAATCGACACAATCAAAAGCCTTTCTAATATCTAGCATCGTCATACCCGTATACTTTCCTTGAAAAGTCTGGTCTTTGATTTGATCAGTAACAGATTTATAAGACAGGTCTCCGTGGAGTGTCGCTCTCGAAAACCCAATTGCCATTCATTTAAAATGTTATTATCTTTTAGGTAAATTTTAATTTGAGAGCCCACTATACTCTCCAGAATCTTAGATACCGCATTTAATATGCTGATCGGCCTATAATTACTTGTATCAGTCTTTGAATTACAGTTATGGATTGGTTTAAGTTTAGCCAGTTTAAAATCCCTTGAGAAAGAGTAAGATTCATTTCAAGAGTATCTTCATCGACCATAATAAAATCATATCTTATATTATTTATTTTATTTTTATAAAAATATTTAAAACTTTCGGAATTTACATCATATAATTTTGGAGGGGTTGGTAATTACATCATATAATTTTGAAAGGTATTTTGAAGGGGTCCCACATCGATTTCGGTTCCAACTAGTTCCAGTGCTAAAGACGTGTTTTATTTACATCTACCGTAAATGTTCCAAAAACAAAGGTTGCTTTGTTTTACCACTCAATATATACGACAGAAATGGGTATGATATTATTGACATGACATTTCTGCGCCGCTTGCAGTCGGGGCGTACTACTGTATTAGGTGTTGCAAAATATAGAGAAGTGCTCTCGTACCAAGGCAATTGAATTCTCGTACTAAATGAGCATATAACTACAGCGCCGCCAGACGTTCGGAACCTTCCATTGCACAGTTCACAGTGCACTCAACCACCAGCAAGCAAGATTATATCTTAAGGATATTTCCCGCACGATTAAAATCGTAACGGTAA